GAACACCCATTTTTGGGACTTTGTCTCAAGAGGTTTCGTCCCTTACACAATCGTCTGATCCTCTTTAATTGTTAGCGAATTAATCGTTGACACATAAAAATTCAGCCCAAATCGAACAGCCCAGAGAGTAAAGCCCAATTGGAGGATCCCCAAATCAGATAGCTCAAAGAACGAAATCCAATTGAACGAATCAAGGTGAAGGCCCAAATAAGGGGCCCAATAGTGCGGTAACGCCATGTTTGCAAGTCGCTCAGAGTCTGAACGAATAGAGTGGCATACGGTTGCCCGAAGTCTCGCCCAAATCTTTAAGTCGCCCAAGGTATCAACAAATATAACGCATTATGATTATCAAGAAATGCAGTTATTGAGGCAGTTGTTAAAGTAACCTTACCACGTTCCACGACTCAAGGGGTTCAATCGAAAGCGGTTGAACGATGCAAGATAATGGCAGCAGTTAAAAGGACAGTTTCATGACAAAATGGCCACTACAAAGAAAGTGGGTAGTTATAGGGCGATCAAGCAGTTTTTTAGAGCAGTTAATCACAAAGGGATCGCCTATGAAGTATAAAAGGGAGAAAGAACTTAGAAGCAAAGGACCGAATCCAAAACTCTCGAACAGAGAATATGTAATTTTCATTCCTTTAGCTTTTAGACTTAAACACTTCCTTTTCTGTAACTCGTGTGCTTGCGCCCCTTGGAGGCACGTTGTTTTCCGTTTCCAATTGTAAAGTTCATCGCCAATAAAAGGAACACCCCTTTTTGGGACTTTGTCTCAAGAGGTTTCGTCCCTTACACAATCGTCTGATCCTCTTTAATTGTTAGCGAATTAACACGCGCGAAACAATAGTCTAAATGAAAATATCAAGATCCTTCATTTCAAGATACTCACATTGGTGTCTGCATCATCAAAAAAATAGATGAGTCATTCTATGAATAATGGAACGAGAACTAATTCAGTATTTCCGAATGTCAAATTTCATATTGGTTCATCATTAATCTAATAGAATCATAACTAATTAATGCTGCCAATAAAAAGACTGAGATCTGCTATAAGTTTTAAATCCAAGCCCCTTATAATTTATTGACATTTGTCTACTTATAATTGCTTTTCTTATTAGTTGCTTGGTTGTGGGGTAATTGTGTTGCATTCAATTGTGATATCATCCTTGTAATCATGAAGCATTCTAAAGACTCGACCAGCCAGTATAACGAAGTAGTTATAACGTTAAGTACATTTTGATAGACACCTTAGGATCCCACGCAGCGAAGCTAACTAATGTTCCCTTACACGCCAAAAAAAAAAAAAGTAAAAATCTGTGAGGGGAGTGTGTAATACTAGTCGAGATTGGACACAGACAAGATTTTAGCCTGTCGTCCAAGCAAAAAATATGCTCAACTCAAGTAAAAGTAACACTGTAAAATAAGTAATGCACAGTGGTTCTCAAAATTAGAGAAAAGAAAGAACCTGGAAACCAAGGGTATTGTAAGATTGTCTTCTGTCAAGCAAAATAGCAGGTGGTGAAGGCTTGATTTTGCAATTATGAATGTAAGAAAGATCCCTTTGAGGAGATGGTGAAAATGCATAATAATAATGAGCAGAATACTGAATGGCCATGGACTGCATAACAAACTCATCCTCTTTCTTGCATTAATACTCTCTTATTTTGCCTAATGTACCAACATTTTCACTTCTCTCTCCTATCTGTTTCTCTCTCTATCAACGAGTGTTTTGTGAGTGAAAATGTAGGTGACACAAAGAAACAGGTATGTGGACAGCAAGGGAAGAGGAGAAATGGAGTGACAAATTCTTATGGGTCATGTGGGCCCTCAAAATCCGTTATGAACCAATGGCACCACTCGTCTTCTAGCCTCTTTTTCTCTCTCTGTATCTATCTATATATATACACACACACACGATGTTCTCTAAGTTCTAACGCCGTACATACATTAGCCTTAAATATAGTCTTACGACTTAGTGCCTGAATTTTTGGTAAATAGTCGCTCGAACCTGATCTCTCCGGCCCTTTTATGGAGGCTGTCCTCCTTCCAAAATTATAGTAGTTGATTATTTTCTATCTTCATTCGTTTCGCGGGAGCAGACCAGAGTTCGGCCTTAATAATCAATTTTTTCTCCTTCTCAGAGTTGAGAATTGTTGAGCCTACAATATATTTTTGACACCAAGGCACATCACTTGTTCTTAACAAATTGGATGACATAAAGATGCAATATGCTGAAATTTAAAAAATGTATTGATGGAATAAGTAAAAAAAATATTATAGCAGATCTGACTCTTTTTAATGTAGTATTTTTGGGTGGTCGTGAGAACAATTCGAAGACCCGCTATTAAGCCCTCTTTGAGGACTAAACCCAACAAGGCTGAAAAGCCTCAATTACAACCATGGTGAGATGGGCTTTGACCTAAGAAGATATAAAAAAGTGGAAATTACACAAAACCATACTTTAAATATTCCACCTTCTAAAATCAGATTGAAAATTTGATATTTCAAAAGTCAGATATTTTATATTTAAATATTAAATATTATAATACAAAATTTATTACAAACCCTAAATAATTATTCTCTCTCCATTTTTCCCCTCTCTCTCTTCTCACCCGTCTCCCTCCCCACTCTCAGCCTGGCCCTCTCAGCAGCCTTCCCCGATGGCACATCACCGACGACAAACGGCTGCAACAACGGCGGTTGGAAGTGTTGGCGATGGCGTTGTGGTGATGGTCCTCTCTTCTCACCCGCCTCCCTCTCCACTTTCAATCGCCTATTCTCTACCCTCAGTAGCCTTTCAACGACAGTTCTCCGACGAGAAAACAGTTGTAATCACTCTCTCCACTCTCTGTAACGCAGCGGCGACACACGGCTGTGACGAACGGGGCTGCCGCGACAAGTTTTTTCGGGGTGATTGGGCTGCCGACAATACACGACTGCTTAGGGTTTAGATGTGTTCTCTTTTGGTGATTATTGGTTGATGATGACTGAGGCAATGGTGGTGGTGGTTTTGGATCTATGGTTTACATTGATTTGGTTACTTCTGTGGTTTACATTGATTGTTGTACATTAACAGCAACCCTGTTGAGCGTAACAACTATGAAGATTCAGAGAGTCAAAAGGGTAAAAATAATTGATGAAAATAAGATTTGAAGTGGATTGTAAAGCTGGAAATTTCTGTTTTACATTGATTTGGTTACTTCTGTGGTTCACTATTGATTATTTTAGTTTTGTGGTGGTGGCGCGGTGGTGGTAGTGGTGGTTGCGGTTGCCGTGGTGGTAGTGTATGGTGGGATGATGGTGGTGTATGGTGCGATGGTGGTGTGCGGCGGTGGGGATGGTGGTGTGCAGTTCATATTTTTTTTCAAATTTTTTGCTACGTTGACGGTGGTGCGGTGGTGGTACAGGTGGTTGATAGTTGTGAGGCATTGGTTTTGGTTGTTGAAGTGGTGGCAGCGGCGGATTCCATACTTTGGAGGTAGCGGGGCAGTAATGGTGATAACGACGGTGGTCGTGAGTGGGATGAGATGGAGTTGAATGTTTGTGACCAATTATTTAGTTGATTGTGACTAATAATTGGTTAATTTGTAATACGTGACCTCAAAATTGTGACCGTGACTCATAATTGATTAAGTTGTGACTGGAAAATTAATCAAAACCAATTAATTTAATAATTTGTAATGAATAAATGAGTTGTGATCAATAAAAATTTTGATTTTGTGACCAATGAATAATTTATGACCTATAAAATTTTTGATTCGTGATCGAAAATTAATATGTGACCTATAAAATTTTTGATTTGTGACCAAAAATAAGTTGTAACTAAAAATTAATCTGTGACTAATTAATTTTTTTTAATTTGTGACCGATGAACAAACTGTGACCTACAAAATTTTTGAATTGTGATCATAAAATAATTTGTGACATAAAATTTTTAATTTGTGATCAAAAAATAATAAATAATTAATTAAATTGTTAATTTGTGACCAAATTATATAGATATGTGACTTAAATATATTTAATTAATAAAATAATTAATTAATTGATTTAGCAATAAATAATTTTTAATAAAAATCCGATTTTTGAAGTTTATAATTTATTGAGTTGTGACCGAAAAATTAATCGATGACCTATAAATTTTTTGATTCGTGATTGAAAAATAATATGTGACCTATAAAATTTGTGTTTGTGACTTGTAATTTATTGAGTTGTAATCGAAAAATTAATCTGTGACCTATAAAATTTTTGATTCGTGATCGAAAAATAATATGTGACTTATAAAATTTTTAATTTGTGACCGAAAAATAAGTTGTGACCAATAATATGATAAATTGTGAATAGAAATTAATCCGTAACTAATTATTTTTGGATTTGTGACCAATAAACAAACTGTGCCTTACAAAATTTTTGAATTATGATCGTAAAAAAATTTGTGACATAAAATTTTGGATTTGTGATAAAAAAAAAATAATAAGTAACTAATTATATTGTTAATTTGTGACCAAATTGTATAGATCCGTGACCTAAATATATTTCATTAATAAAATAATTAATTAACTAATTAAATTATAAATAATTTTTAATAAAAATCTGATTTTAGAAATTTAAAACTTGTTTTCTTGTTTTTGAAATGTGTCATAATTAATTTCTTAGTTATGAAATTTTCCCTATAAAAAGGAAGATTGAGCCTTGTTTGAGCCACATTATTTCAAAAAGAATGCATTTTTGAATAGTGTAGTGATGAGAAATGTGTGGTTAAAAAAATAAGAAAAAGTTTTGGATGTACGTGTAATATTATTTTATTGAAGAATGTATGATTGAAATTATGTTAAATCACTGTTTAAAAATGCATTTTTTTGAAAGAATGTGGATCAAACACACTCTGAGGCAAATAGCATTGAAATGAGGTGAATAATGTTTCTAAACATCACTTGGGCACTTGTATTTTTAACCCTCACTTTTGGGGATATCACTATAGGAAATGACCTTTGAGTAAGTACTCTTTTAAAATGAACGGGTTAAATTTTTGAATGTATATACAGACTTTAATATGCGAAAACAAATTCGTTTAGTAGAATTTCAAATCTATAATTGCACAAGAAATGAGTACAACATAAAACATAACAAAAATAATGTAGGTTTTTTATAAACAAAAATCCATTGAAGTTAGATAAGGGTTTCAGCCCTGCTCATCTCAACTTCAATGGGTTATCATTCCTTACCCTGCATATTGATATAAACAATTAGATACAAGGTGAGAAATCTAGCACCTTACCTTATATTGAACCTATCACACGGTAATAAATGGACAATTGACATGTGAAAATGTACGAACATAGCTTCATCTTTAAATGAATCGAAAGCAAAAAGATAGAATTTAGAGAATACATTCAATCAAACTTATTACAAACATAAGCTAGGCATATCTCATTTGTCAAGCTTAAGAGTCCCTTAACTTCACCAACCAAATCATGTGGGTGAAAGATGTTGAATTGTTTGTCTCAGGAGCCGATATACGTCATCCAATTTGCAACCTTATGCCCGTCTCTTTAGATGTTTGTAAAAGACAAGAACATATAGTTTACATACTTCACCATTTACGAACAATATAATACATTAGATTAGACGAAGACAATGTGTGACAAATACCGTAAGTGCATACTTCATGATTTTGTCATATAAAAAATTTCAACTTTCACCAAAGGCTTAAACATTAAAAAATTTATCTACAAAACATATCATGCTTTGGATATTAAACTTTGGCACCCCAATTGGGAGAAAGACACAATGGATCAACTCCGCATTGTCAAGAAAGCTTGGCAAATAATTATTTAATTTATCCAATTTTTAATGTACAAAATTAAAAAATTATAGTCCACTCTTCTTCTTTTCATTGCCTCATTTTCTTTTATTCCGAGTGCTTTCGGCTGAAAAAAGTAGAAAAATGAAGCACTCGTGCGTGTAGGTTTTATCAGTCAAAAAAGAGAATGCACTTTAGAATAGCTTCCTTACAAAATTGACACAACAAAATTGATGACGTGATTGTGACCTATTTGAAACTAGTTTGAATTTATGTATTAATAGATTATTGTTTTTTGCAAGCAGAAATATGTTTTCTTGAATCAATTAAAAGTCAATACGGTATTGGGTAGTCGGCTTGTGACACCTGGGCTAATGGATGTCGTTCCAAACCACCTTAAAACTTTAAATGAAGTGGTATATCATGTTATTATAGTGGTTAAAGATCGAAAATCCAATTCTCGTTGTCACTATATATACATTGTGTATTTATCTAGCTTTTGATAAAAATAAATTCAATTTGCACACATCAAAGCTCGTCAAGGACAGAACTACAAATAAATAAATAAATAAATAAATAAATATATATATATATATATATATATATATGTGTGTGTGTGTGTGTGTGTGTGTGTGTGTGTGTGTGTATTATCTATTTTCATAAATCTCTGTTCTTCTATTTCATCTCCTATCCCCTGGGTCTTTTATGATATCAGAGCCATAAGTGAACAAGTGAGATTAGTTTAATCTTACACGATAAGCACTGTTCAAAATAGGTGAGTCTGGTTTTATCCTGGATGTCTGCTGAATAGACGTTGGTCAGCCCTGTAGACGTTGGTCAGCCGTGTTAGGTGGTCCCGTTGGGTGATCCCGTTTGTAGGCTTGGTAAGAACCAATCTATCCTATTTTACTGTTTTTATTGTGTAATTTTATCTTGATTTCATTTTGTTTATTATGTCTTCGGTTTCTAATT